GTCTTCATGGAAGTAAAAATATATCACCCCATCCAGCCTCTCTACTTTACCAGTTATTATCCAGGTTACAGAGGATTGATTTTTGTTTATATGAATGTACTTTTTGAGGAAAAATGACATATTATAACTCCATGGTTCCCAGTTAGTGGTACGTGTATCCCCAGGGGTACGTGAAATTGCATGAAGGGGTACGCGCTGCAATCTAAAATCGGTCAATTTAAAATTTAAATGCATGAGATGAAGCAATCAAAAAAATAATTGGTGGACCATCAAAAATTCGACAATTTACAACATGATGTCGAATGCACAAATTAGTTTATTTATAACTAAAAATATTCTCGAAATTTCATAAAAAAAATGCATTTGTGACAATACCTAAATGAAATTCTTACGCAAGAAACAAAAATTGTATAATTAACATTATTATCATGTCAGCGAAGCAGCAATAAAATATTTACTACCATTTTGCACAACATGCCTCTGTGAGAGAGGATTTTCGGTCATGACAAACATGAAAACTAAACATCGTCACCGACTTCAACTCGAAGATGACTTGAGACTGAAGCTGACCAAAAAAGCAACCAGATTTTATAAAGTTGTGCAAAGAAAATTGTGCACATTTGCCACATTAAAATTATTTTTGTCGTTTTTGAACACCATATAGTTCAGACACTCAACACAAGGCAATCTTCATTTTAAATTTATTCAATTTTTAGTTGTTGCATGTACCTGTTATTTTGTACATGTTTCGGGCTTGTGTAGGTTCCTTCTCAGCCAACTTAAGAAAAATTCCAAAAAATTGCCCAAGGACCTTCTACAATTTTTCGTAACAGATGATCAATTTTTAACTTTTTCTTCACTTTTTTTATACCACTCATTCAAAAGGTACTTTTACTATTCAGGTAACTTATAAAGATTGTGTTCCAAAGTATCTCTTGGTAAATAAACTACTCACAAGCATATATTCTTTACATAATTCTTGTTTATTATTCCGACATTATAGAAGTACAATACTGACGAATTTCTCAAATGCCCTTTTTTTTCGATGTGGTTGTTTTTGAGAGACCATATTGAAAAACAACGAGACCATTGGGCTATATAACAGCTATAATACTAATAATTATCAAACAATTTGACACTAGAGGGAGGTGTTAGGTGCCATCTTGTAATAAATTTAATAATTATAATTTTAATTAAATAATTTAGATTAAACTGGAAAAAAGAATCAGGGTTCAAACCTGCAGCTGTCACTTACATTGCGGATGTGTTGCCAATTACGCTATCTGGACCTCTCGTCTGATCTCGTCTTCTAGTATATATAACATTACACTATAACCATCATCTGTTACTGGTAATTTATTAGTTATATAGCCTGATGGCATATGGCAGTCGTTGGCTTTAGTAATATATGTATCGGGTTTTTGTAGAGTTGTTTACTCAGTAGTCAATCACATAACCACGTGATTATTTATGGCAGTCAACAACTAGGTTTTCATATATTGAGAGCCTCATAAATGTGAAACAATAATGAGCTCAGTAATAGGCATTTTGTAGAAAACATGCACCTGAAATGCAGAGCCCTTGTTATCTTCTAAAGACTAGACAATACCTCATTATGCAGTCAGTTACCAGAAGGTGTGTTGAGCACTTACAGTCGACCCCCCCCCCTATAACATGGTAGATACGTTCTGTTCTTTATGAATCAATTTTGTACGAGTCCTTGCCAATCACAGCCTGACACGTGTGAAGTTTACGGACTACGACTGTTTGAAAGGTTTTCTTCCATAAAATTAATAGATTCTAGACTAATTTGACTCAACATTTCCAAAATATGTATAATTTTTTTGGGAATAATCTGTATAAACTATGCTATAAACAAAAAATTGTAGGATTACTTACAGAGTGTGCACAATTCGACGTCACCATTGCTCAAGCTTGTCTTCGTCGCGGAACAGCGCACCAAACAGCAGGCGATTTCTGATAAGTTAATTTTTTGCGAAAACTTTGCTGAACTTTGGAGACATCATTAATATAAATAATCTTTATGGCCGTTGAATAAGAAATGTTTCTTTCACAAGAAATGTATAAAATTACAGTACTGTATTAGACTTACGGTACCTAATTTACATACTGTACAGACAATAGTAAACAACTTACTCACCTAAACTCTCCATAGCGTGGCGCTGGACGGCAGAAAGTATATATATAATTATAATAAAGTTACAATAAATTAAGTTAATATATAATTATATATACAGTACCTAATTTATATATAATTAATATATAATTATATGTACAGTACCTAATTTATATATAATACTGTACAGACGATAGTAAACTCAATTTACCCGCCTAAACTCTCTGTAGCATGGCGCTGGATGGCAGAAAGTAGTTCGGCTGGCCGATGATGTTTTACCGAATTATAGGAGTTTTTTTTACCAGGTTTGTACAGATACCGTCGCAATTTTTTCGCCGCCTTATAGGAATCGTAATTATAGGAACCCGTGTTATAGGGGGTGTCTACTGTATTTTTCCCATCACTAAGAGTGAAGAAACATGTTGTTCTTGGTATCATACCTCAAAAGAACCTCCAGGTATACAGTGACAAATTCATGGGTAAATGTAAACAAATGTTTTCGGGTTTCTCCTGAGTTCTGCATCAGGTTTTAATGGAATGCCTTAAATGGAATGTAAGGAAAGCAGAAAACCTGAAGCAGAGCTCAGTTTGCATGATTTTTAAATATTTTTCATTCAGCATTAGTTGCAGCAAATATTGTATATATATTTTTGTAATCTATACTAATATTATAAAGAAGTAATGTTTGTCTATACTAATATTATAAAGAGTTTGTAAGTTTGTTTGTAAGTTTGTTTGCAGCAGGTAATCTCCAAAACTACTCATCCGATATCAAAAATTCTTTCACCAATATTTAGAATGGAACCTCAGGGTGGACACAGGCTGTATATTATTTCGTTAAACATTCACATAAATTAAAATATATAATCTAGGTTAAGGCTTTTATGTCCAACAGATGGCACTACGAGTATGATGCCCTAAGTTTGCTTTTCTGTGAGGCATTATGCTTTTCTGTGAAAATGAACTAAAGCGGATCATCTTCTATCTATCTATATAAATAAAAATGTAATGTTCGTTTGTTCCTACCGATTCCTTTGAAATTTTGACACAACGCTGCATTCGAATACGCACGTGTTTTTATATAATATACGTGTCGAAATTCCCCCCACTGAAGGGAGATGGTTAGGATTAAGGCTTACGGTAAAGAACTCTGCTTCTATTTATACTATTTTGGATGCGGGTTTTTGCGTTTTTTATTGCGTTTTAATAGGGTACGTCAACAGAATGTACACTAAGAAGGGATTTTTCGATATTCCCTGCGGGGAGAGGGACAGAATTAAGGCTTACCATGAAGAACTTGGCTTCTCTTATATTATTTTAGATGCGGGTTTTTGCATGTTTGATTGCGTTTTAATAGGGTACGTCAAGAGAATGTACACTAAGAAGAAATTTTTTGAAAAATTCCCCCCACAGGGGTAGTGTTATACATTTATAATAGATACATTTTGAGCCACAACAACGCGTGGCGGGGTCTGCTAGTAGTATATATTTTACTTCTTATATCATAAATGAATTGCTTAACTTTGTGATTATTTTCATTAAATTGTTTTGTGTAGTAATGTGGGCTTTTGATTCCTACAGGGCATAAGACAAATTCTTCTAACTTACTATTTCAGAAGGTTCTGTATATAGTAGAAAGATTTAGTTTTTTAAAGGTTTTAAGGAAAGGCATACTAATTTTCATTATTACAGTATATTAACTACAGTTGACCCCCCCCCTATAACACAGGTTAATATAGTTCGGATTCCTATATGATGGCAAAAAAATTGCGACAGTATTTGTACAAACACGCTAAAAAAAACTTGTATAATTCGGTAAAACGTCATTGCCACCTCGTGTTGCGGCAGGATTGGTCGAATCTAGACCAATAGTGGATATTGTACAAACCGTTGAGTTTAAACAAGCAGTGGACCTACTAAAAACCATTTATTATTTAACATCCATAAAAATTATATTTATATTAATGATGTCTCCAAAGTTCAGTGAATTTTTCGCAAAAAAAATAATTTATCAGGAAGCATGCGAGTGCCATTCAATGCACCGCTCCACGATGAAAACAAGCTTAAGCAATGGCGTCGTCGAACGGTGCACACTCGGTAAGTAATCTAACAATTNATTTGGGTCTCTAATTAATAAAAAATGACAAAACATCATTTTAAAGTGCATTTTTATTTGACTAGTATATTTATAAATAATATGTAGCCCAAAAAGTAGCCAATGCGCCAAATGATATTTTATGCCAAATTAAAAAAGGGCAGACAACTTTGGCGCAAAGTAGCCAAATCATGCAACACTGGAAGGAATACTAAATAAAGCTGGAGTTGGGACTCAAAGGATTATAAACCCAAATTTGGGGAAAGGAGAGAAAGGACAAAAGATAAAAAAGTGAGGAAGGTTGGAAAATTATTGATCCATATTTGCATAACAGAAAGTCTATTTAATCTTTTTCACTACTTTTTATCTTTTGGCCTTCCTTTCCTTTTCCTGAATTTGGGTCTATAATTCTTTGAGTCTCAACTTTAGCTTTATTTAGTATTTCTTCCTCATTCACACATTTCAAAGTATTTGAAAATATTTTCTTTACACTCAAAAATAAAATATATATAAAGGTTTACGGGTTTGTGAAACTTTTTTTTTTTAGTTTATACCATTGAAATAAATAAATAAAATTAAATTTAAAAGTTTGTTAGTTTTTTACACGTTTATTGGGCCGCATGCGGGCCGTGGGTTGGACACCCCTGATCTAAAGTATTATATAAATGAAAATAATTGATTTTCTAAGTTAATTATTGAAGTTATAACAAAATTAATATGTATAATTTTATAATTGTTATTATTAATTAAGATTTTTTTTCTTTTTAGTTCAGCTGCAAACAACTAGAAAGACTATCAAAAAGAGCTGAAAAAGATGAAAAAATTCAAAGAAATAAATTGAAAAAGGTAATTACATGTACAAGGTAGGCTCCAGAAGTTTCCAGCCTACCTATATTTTAGATATGATAGGAATAAAATAATGATAGCATCAGATAGCACTGTCTGTTTATGGATTAATAAAGCAGTTTTTCCTACCAATTTGCATAAGTCACTTGGGAACATTCATTTTAGTTACGCTTGTAGAATTAATTTGTATCATGCTCACTCTTGCAGGACAATGTGCCAGTGCACACAGCTGCCATTGCAAAGGCTGCTGCAAAGGTGTGTGGGTTTGAGGAGCTTGACCAACCACCTTACAGCTGGACCTGACTCCTAGTGATTATCATCTGTTTCCAAAACTCAAAAAAGATGTTTTAAAAAGTGGTGAAGAGTTGCAGAAGGTAGTTTGAGCATTTTGCTGACAAACCTGTGGACTATTTTTTCAAGGGTATTGAAATGTTAATTCCAAGATGTAATAAGTGTATTGAACTACAAGGAGACTATACTGAAAAATGACATCCTTATTTTATAACTTCTAAAATATAATTAGGCTGAAAACTTTTGGCACTTACCATGTATATTTCTATACATATTTGCAATTTCAATGAACCATAGAAATAAATTTAAAATAACATGTTTTTGTGTATGCTATTTTAAATTACTTGAAAAAAGATGAAAGTATAGTGAATGCAGATTGTATTAGTCGATAATAGTCTGTTGTATTATGGACTAATACAATGCTACTTTTCAGGTTTGATATTTTCTGTTAAGAAGAATTAATGTTTACCTTGAATATAAGTTCATTATTAAAATTTACCAGTACAAAATCTATTAAATTAAAATACTACTAAATTAATAATGACAAATTAAACTTAGTGCTATTAAACTATTTCACTTTGTCAAATTTTTTTAAACAACATATTATGTCTTGATTGCTAGGATTGCATTTAAAAATATTCAGTTTTTTTGTAAAAGTAAACAAATTATGATTATTTTGGAATGTGCAAAGATTAGAAAAGATCTATGAATGGATGTCTCTTTGATCTGAATGACTATTAAGTTCAATAGACTATCATTACAGCTTTCAGCATATGATATGAGAAAATGCATTTTCTGCATAATATTTAATGCATATGAGAAAACAATAAAAGAAGTGTCTAACCTGAAAGCTGTAATGATAGTCTACCAAACTTAATAGTCATTCGGATTAAAGAGACATACATTCATAGAACGTAATAACAGCTACCATAAGTGATATTTAGATTAGAAAAGATGCTTACATTTTTTACAATTTCTAGTGATGTCTATGATGATTAGTCTTCTTCCAAAAATTATATTATTTTTCAGTGAGAAAGTAATGAAAATATAACCAAGAAAACTACTCCTGCCCCCTGAAATGGTTTATAGAAACTAAATTAACTAAGATATTAAGAAAGCTGAGTGAATTAAAACAATAATAAAATCAGAACATGCTGTTCAAAATCTACCACTAAAACATTAACTCATTTTCATTAAGATGCAAGATTAGTTTACTTTGATTAGTATTCTCTAGTAGCAGAGGATATTTAATTTAAATTTAGGAAGTCAGTATTTTAAATTATTATGATTATTTGTACATATTATTAGGAGGTAATTTTTTTGTTTTGCATTGCTTTCTTCTTAATTATACTCTGAAGCAACTTGATGAAAATTTAAGAATTTTTATAAACATTTTTGTGTTTGTTATGTGAATTATTTCTGTCAAAATCATCTTGATTTTGTTACCAAAAAACAAACTTTATTTTGAAATCTAAAAAATATTCTGATATTTTGAATTTTAACCAAATATATAATCTACATATGAAAGATAATGAAGAATAATTTATTTAGTAAAGACTTCATTAGTAATATTCTGACTGATATTTTTTATACAGTTTTTAGGACCCAATTCAAATACACATTTTTTGCTCCAATCCTTAGCTATTTTTGCCATATTTCACTCCATATGCTAAATAATAATTATAAGTGGTAACATAGATAGAACTATTTTTCTCATTTTTTGATAAAGAACAACTGACTGCAGTAACCTATACCACATTTTATATCTGTTATAGGAACCATTACAAACATGGGTATCATAATCATATTAGAGAAGAATATCATAAGAATTCATATGATTATGATAACAGTTCATTAGTAGTATTTCTATAAGTGGCTTTTTTAAACTGCAGGTTGTTACTTTTTCTGGATATGTGTATGAGATAATTTTTTTTGACTGTTTAAATATTATTATTATTTTTTTCCATTGGAAACTGAGTTTTTTGAACTGAAATTTCAATAAAAATGTACTAATGTTAAGTTTAAATGTATAATTACATATCTATGTATATAAGCCATTGATCCCACTGTTTGTATATCTATAATCTGTAATCTGTCACGGAATGCCTAGAACACCCGCTAGGGGGCGTCCCGGGCTATCTCATATATATATATTTGGTTGAAAATTTGAAATGCCTAAATGTTTTTTGTTTTTATATTTATCAATGCAGTATAAATGAATTTTGTTTTCTTAATTATTTGAGCTGTACCTAAAGTTTGGTTAGAGTATAGATGAGAAAATGAGATGACTTAATACCTTAAATCAAATACACTGAATGAATTTTTCATAGAGTTGTGAGAACTCATTTTGAAAATTCAAAAGGTGCTAACAATGGAAAAGGCTAAAAACACTGTTGTACAGTCAATCTCCATTTAATTTATTATTCAAAAATTTTAGTTTATCATTAAAAGGTATTGCTTGACTATCGAAAGCTTTTACTTTAGCTTTTATGTTCAGTTTACCAATATAATTATGAGGCGTGCCCGGAAAGTAAGTACCGCTTTGGAAAAACTCACATAAAAAATCTTTTTTTCAAAAGAAAATTTATTTTTACATGAAAGAGCATGTTGGAAACTATTTTTCTACATAGTTACCACCATTGTTCAGACATTTGTCATATCGGGAAACTAACTTGTCTATACCCTCTTCAAAGAAATATGCCGCCAGTGAAGACAGCCACTGCTGAACATTGATTTGTGACAATCTCATGCAAAACAGTTTTTGAAATTTGTGGAAACTCATCACAAAGCAATCTTATTGTGAACTGTCTGTTTTCAAGAATTTTCTCATTCACTTTTGCAACCAAACCATCATTGACAACAGAAGGCCGGCCACTCCGTGCTTTGTCATGAACATTGGTGCATCCAGCATTGAATTGTCGAACCCACTTTCTCGCTATTCCATCACTCATTACATTTTCACCATAGATCTCTACAAGTTGACGATGAATTTCAACTGGCTTAACATTCTTTGCGTTCAAAAACTGTATTACAGAACGTGCTTTACAGTCGGCGGGATTGGTAATTGTCTTAAACATTTTGAATGCTCACTAACACATGGAAAAACAACACAATCTGGCTCTAATGGCATCACTGGACTGACAATCAACCAGAGACACGTGTAATCAGATGCTGAACTGCAATACTACCACTGCGGTGGCGGTAAAACGAAACGGTACTTACTTTCCGGACACGCCTCGTATTACTCTATTTTTATTTGTAATATTAAAATTTTTCAGGCATTAATGCAACAAAACCTTGAAGGTGCTAAAATTTATGCAGAGAATGCTATTAGAAAGAAGAATGAGAGTTTAAATTATTTACGAATGGCTTCTAAAATAGATGCTGTATCTTCTAAAGTACAAAGTGCTGTTGCTATGAAAGGAGTAAGTAAAAGATCATTTATTCATAATAACTTTTTATGTAAATATTACTGCAAATTGTAGGGATAAAAATGAATGTATGTATTGTTTTAAGCATTATTTACTAATGAAAATGAAATTATCACAGTACCTGTTCAAACTACAGTAGAGCGTCGATTATCCGAAAGTCAATCATCCGAAAGAATTCCTGTCGGCAAATTTAAATTTTCACCAGTGCTGTGGCGCTGCAATCTTTGGCTATGTCTTGGGCTACTCAAATATTTTACGTTTTTGATACTAAATTAACTTTTGAAGTATAATTTTTTATTGTTTTTATATTTTTCAATATATTTATTTTGTTTGTACAAAATAAAAAAATAATTTTTAACGATACAATAGTCTTCGTTAGGCTTAACATCGACGAAAATTCAACGCGAAGCGACACGCAACGGAGAAAAATTTCAACACGGGATAAATTAATATATTTTTTCGTAC